TTCAGGCATATGTTGGTCCTCAGTGAGGCATCGATGTCGTCATTTGCCACCCATTCCTTTGTCTTGGGTGCGCACACAGAGACGCTTCACGTGCACACTTCCCCTCCTTGCTCTCCTTGATTTCTCTGTTCCTCTGCGTCCAGAGAGTTTCACTTTGGAGACTGAAGCAGTAAAGATGCAAGTAATATGTAACTCAGTTAACTAGCTTGAGTAATAAAGGAGATATATGGCTAGAGGAGCCCTGGTGGTACAGTGGTTAAAGCACTCAGTTGTTAACCAAAAGGTCAGCAGCTGCTCCATGGGAGAAAGATGAGGCAGTCTGCTTCCATACAGATTTATAGATATGGAATCCATATGGGGCAGTTCTACCCTGCCCTGTAGGGTCGCTATGAGTTGGAATTGACTCGATGGCAGTGAGTTTGGTTTGGTTTGTTTTATGACTAGAGGGAAAGGGAAAATCTCAGACACATAGCAGACACTGGTTCTCTGTGTGATTTTCTCAGCTCTGCCATACTCTGTGAGTGGGTTTCAGCCTCGGGCTGGGACACCCAAGATGATCACAAAGGTCCAACCTGGATCACTTGCCTATAATCTGAACCACTCAAGAGATCATGCTTATTGGGTTGGGACTATCAGGACTCACCCCTGGAGTTGGAGCTGGGGTTTTACTCACCAAATTGCAGGGCTAGTAGCCAGTGGGGTTCTTTTCTGAGTCAAGTGGTGGTAGCTGAGCAGTGTACAGGATGTGTCTGTGGCTGCTGGGTTTTGCTAGGCTGTGACCCCCACTCAGGTTAGCAGAGACACCTGGAGCACTCACCCTAGAGAAAGCAGTGTATTTTGGATCACATGCTGTTAGTGCCAAATATGTGATCAGGGCATTTGATTAGTGGAGGAATCAGTTCTCAGAGAAGCTGGAGAGATCAGATGGGTCTTCTAAGCCCAGGGAACAACATTGTCGCCCTCTAGGCCAGTGGTCATTCGGCTGTGAGTATGTGTGTGTGTGTGTACGTGTGGGCATGTGTGCCAAGAATGTGCATTCCCCCTGCCCTGAGTCCCCTGTGTGATCATCGTCCCAGGTTTTGGGCCCCTGGAATGACAGAGTACAGCCTGGGTAACAACTCGGGGATGAAGACCTCTTGATACCCCATACACTTCCACAGAGTGTGTGGGCTGTGAGTAAAGGGTCAAGCAGAGGGTTGCTGAGCATGAATAGGTGGCTTCTGTGGGAGCCCTGAGTGCTGCTCTTGGTCCCTGGAGCCTGGAACTGTAAGAAAGTAGGGAAAACTCAGGAATAGGGTGGCTTCTGTTTCTTTCCTAAGTGCTTCTCATTGGGGTGTGTGTGTGTGTGTGTGTGTGTGTGTGTATGGTTTTCAGACACAGCTGACTTGGTGAGTTTTGGCGGCAGACTACAGGATGTTGGATTATAACCTGATTGTGTCACCCTTGGAAGAAGATGATGAATAAACACATAGCCTTCTCTGCAAATGTACCACGCCTTAAATTTTGGAGATTTTTAGTCTCGCCTGAAAATAAAAAAGCTCTAGGCTGACTGTTTTGTCCTCCATTTGATCCTCAAACTACCAGGAGCAGGTGGAACAGAAACTAAATAACGAAGCTCTATGTAAGATGGACAGACACCCCTGGGCCTTGATGCTGTAGCAGTTGAAGATGGTGTTCTGTATAGAGGTAGTGTCGTCTAGCATGTTGGGCATAGTGATGGCAGGGTGGGAAAACCTGACCACCCCACAATCTGCAGCTAACTTTGAGAAGCTTATGGACTAGTTAGAGGACTAAGATGCATAAAAAGAAAATAACTAATAGGTATCATTGCCAAGTGAAGGGTCTGAAATATAGTAGGTACTTGGGGGCCAGGTCAGAGCAGATGCCAGGGTAAAGCAAAGCTCAAGAGCCCAGGGAAGGGGCTGAATTTGAAAAGTGGACCAGAGTTAACCTTCCATAGGTTAACTGAGCCTTCAAGGGGCCCTGCAGTGCAGTGAATTACTTAATACGGCCTTTCTAGTCATAGTCTTTGTAACTACCACCAAGTGACTGGGTAAACCAAAAAAACCAAACCTACTATCATTGAGTCGATTCCAACTCGTAGCGACCCCCATTGGGTTTCCAATGTGGTAAATCTTTATGGAAGTAGATTGCCCAGTCTTCCTTCCATGGAGTGGCTGGTGGGTTTGAACCACCAGCCCTCTGGTTAGCAGTCAGATGCTGTAGGCACTGAGCCACCAGAGATACTTAAATGACTTGGAAGGTCTATGCAAATGTGAGTTGCTTGAGGCCCACCAAAGGGGTTGGATAGCTTGCTAATAATGTAAATAAGGGTAAAAAATAGTACCCTTGTATGGGTGGGACCATGGAAATAAAGTATATGAAACCTTAATGTGAAGATTGGTCAGTTTTTCCATCCCCCTAGACAAAATGAGCTATCCTAGAGGAGGAAAGAGGAGATCTCACTATTATCAAGAAAGAAGAGCCAGGAGTGGAGCATTTCCTTTGCACCCGAGATCCCTGTGCTGAACTTCCTTGACCCAGGAGAAAGAGAAAGAATGAGAGAGCTATAACACTTTACTGAGACATGACGGAAGGCAAGAAGCAGTGGCAGAGAAACAGCGGCAGAAGACCCAGCGGGAGACATCGCATTGGGCTTCTGGAGCTAAAAAGCTGAGTGCCTATGGGCAGGAGGCTTCCTGGCAGAGTAGGGTGCCTCTAGGCACTTTAACAGAGCTGAAAGAGCTTTGTAACACTTCCCTAAGCAGGGCAGAGGCCAAGGAGCTACGGGGCTGAGAGGCTGAGGACCAGAGAGAGGCCTGCCTGTGGCATGGCTGAGAAGAGGCTATCCTGATCCAAGAGGTATATTTTGAGTCGTGTCTGATCCTGAATTGTAACCTGTTACTTCCCTAATAAACCCCATAATTGTGAGTATTATCTGTGAGTTCTGTGTGGCCATTGCAACAAATTATTGAACCCAGCAGAGAAATAGAGTGCTGTAGGAGAGACCGTTGGTGTCAGAAATGGTAAAAAGGTTGGAATGTGGAGGCATGTCTGACCTTCACCCCATAGGAATCAGCCTTGGGCTGTTGATCTCGGTCCTTGTACCCCCTTGTGAAGTTAGAAGAGGTCAGAGGACACTGCCTCCATGCTGTTTTTACAGGTCCCCATACTGTGTGGATCTGAAATGCCATGCTAAGGGATTTGGACATGACCCAATGTACCCTATGCTTCATTTACTCTCTTTGAGGTGGGCATCAGTGAAAGGAGGCTGCCTTTGGGGTCTCTTTGTCCATTATGTTTGCACCCCTAGGGGGACCTAGGTTTGAGTGGGGAGGATGTGACATAATCCGTGGGGATAGGGGGTAGGGAGAAAGGATAGGCTGTAAAAACAGGCTCCACTGGGAGTCATTGGAGAGAACAGGTTTAGGGGTAACCCCAAGTTGTTTGAGGAGCTGGTACAACTGTTCAGAGAGGCCATGTGAGGTCCATGTTGCCAACACACACACTTGGGAGTCCGCAATGACTGAGCATGGGATGGAGAGATGGGTTTAAATAGTGGAGAAGAGAAGGATGGGTTTGAATGCCAGGGAACTCTGGTTGTGGTAAAAAAATGGTCAGAGGGTTTAGGCCAAGGCAATAGGTGGTGGCCAGAGAGGTAAGGGAAAGATCAGGTGCTAAGAAGATCTCTGCAGGGAGAGAAGAGCACCTAGGGCCTGCAGGGTGACCACAGGGTCCCACTGCCTGGTGCCTAGCCTCTCTCCGAACATTATGCCTATAGCTACATTTGCGTAAGGGGTTGCCACTATACTAATCGGTAGCTCCTGGGGCTGTCTTTAGTTGGGTTTCCTTCCTTTTGAAGCTGTGGGCAATACAGACAGAGTGAAGCTCCAATCCCACTGCCCTTTCTGTCCTTGCACTTCTTAGCTGGTGGTCAGGGAAGAGAGGCCAAGGGATGGAGGAGTCCCAGCATGAAGCTGTCTGGGCCTGCCCTCGAGAGGAGCTGAGCCTGGGAACCTTCCCTCAGAAGGCAGCGGTTCCTTCCTCTTCCCAGGAAGGCCAGAGAAACCATTCACCCATGCTGGAGTGTGGCCTTGACCTTCTGTTTCAGGGCCTCATGGTTTCTTTTTATAGTGCTGTGGGCCAGCTCCAGTGGCCCCGGTGGCCCCAGCTCACTCAGGACCTGGTGCCTGCCACTCAGCTAAGGCCAGCCCTCGACATTCTCATCAGGACCCTCTGTCTAAACAACCATGGCTAGAGAAAGGGTGGGAATGTACCTGAGCTAGAGCCTGGGAGTCTCTGGAGAATACTGCTAAGGTGGAGGGAAGAGGCCTCAGAGTCATGATCCCCTCAGACCCAGTGCTGAGCTGTCCTTTGGCAAGCCCACGTGTGCATTCCATGCCTGGATGCATAAGGGATGGGTACATGAAGATGGTCATGAGCCTGGCTTGATGGGAGAAGCCTCTCTGGAATATGAGTGTGATGAGGGGTCACCACACCTGCCTCTGCTGAGTCCTGGGAGAGATGGAACAGCTTTACCCTCTCCTCAGAGATGGTCACAGCAACATATACACTCTCTAATCCTGACTGCTTGGAATCTTTATTTAAAATCCAGTAACTGTCGGGGGCCTCTTCCTAGGCAGGAGGAAAGGTGAACCCTCAGGGGAAGCTGCCATAGGTCCTGGCACCACCTATTCCAGGAGGGAGACGGGGCAGGGCCCCAGGCATCCGTGACCGGCTGAGATGGAGCCAAGCTATGAGTAAAAGGGCTTCTCCAAGGTGAGATTCAAGTGTCCTGAGGCCTATTGGGCTCCTTCTGTGGAAACCTTGGCCTGGAATAGGAGCTCTGGTACTCTCACAGATTGTGTCCTGAGATTTGCTCAGAATTCAGACAAGTGAATTGTGAGGCAGGTTTGACTTGGGTTAAGCCTCACCTGTGTGGGGCCTCTCTTCCCCAGTCAGCTCACTGTCTCCCTTTATCTCTCTCTTGGCAGAATGCAGAGCCGGAGTCCCGCAGCCTCTCCCTGGGGGGCCATGTGGGCTTCGACAGCCTCCCTGACCAGCTGGTCAGCAAGTCAGTCACTCAGGGCTTCAGCTTCAACATCCTCTGTGTGGGTGAGTATCCACACCTGGCCAGGGTGCAGCCTTAGGCAGAGGGCAATGAAATGGGGGGCTACTGCCTTGGCTCCCTGTCAAGCCACAAGGGGACTTCCCAGGCAGAGTAGAATCTTGGGGCATCAGGATGAAGGTTTGGTTGGTGTCTCTATTAGGGTCAGGGACAGTGTTAGAGTCAGAGCCTAACTCACAATTACTGTGAGGATTAAACAGGACTAGGCATGTGACAACTTTGTAAAATAAATGTTTATGAGAGAGATTTAGATTCGTTCATTCATTCATTTGTTGAAAGAACATTTACTCATTCCTACTGTGTGTCAGGGAGTCCCTGGGTAGCACAAATAGTTTAAGCACTCAGCTATTAACTGAAAAATGGGCAGCTTGAGTCCACCCAGAGGTGCCTCAGAAGAAAGGCTTGGAAATCTACTTCAGAAAGATCATGCTGTTATTATGTGCCATCGAGTCAGACCTGACTCATAGCAACCCCTCCTTGGGTTTCAAGGTGATATCTCTATGGAAGTAGATCACCCAGTCTTCCTTCCAAGGAGTGGCTGGTGGGTTTGAACTGCCAGCCTTCTGGATAGCCTTTGGCAGTATGCCACCAGAGCTCCTTCAGAAAGATCATAGCCATTGAAAAACCTATGGAACACAGTTCTACTCTGAAACACAAGGAGTTGCCAGGGGTCTCAATTGACACCACAGCAACTATGTTTTTGTTTTGTTTCTTAAACGGTGTCAAGGACACTATGATAAGCCATACTTTGCCCCTTCAAGAGTTGGTAACACAGATCATCACAATATGATGCAATAAGGGCTGTATCTACATCTGAACAAATGAAGCCCCAAAAGATGGTGGCTCTGGAGGCCCCGAGTACCTCAGGGCCAGAGCTCCCAGAGTGACTGTGTAGGTGTGTCTGCCAGGCTGTGGGTGTCCCTCAGGGAGAAGCCTATCTTGAACCTCTCCTCTCTTTAAAACTGCATGGCACTGGGGCCACCCGAGGCAGTTGGTCTGAGCCACTTGTGACTTTAGACCATAGCCTCACTGGTCCCATGACTATCTGGCCCAGGAAGGGTAGTGCAACAGGCACATTATGTGTTAGGTAGCTGGGTACCATTGAGACCAATGGAGACCAGTATTCAGTGGTGTCTCTCTGGCTGCCTGGCTCTGCCTCCTCTTGCTCCCTGAGGAAACGGCTCACATATCCTACATGCCATGTCTGTGTCCAAGTCCCTTTTTGGCTCTTTCTTGCCCATGTTCTTTCTGAGGCCGCTTATGAAAGGGATGGCTCCTGGGGGGTAGGGGAAGTATGGGATGGAATGGGAGTTCTACCCCTCTCTCTAGGAGGGAGACTAAGGGCCTGAGCCCCACTCAGAGACAGACCCAGTCAGACAGCCTCTGACATCCACCTCTGCCCTCCTCTTCCTGCTTCCCAGGGGAGACTGGCATTGGCAAGTCCACATTGATGAACACACTCTTCAACACAACCTTTGAGACAGAGGAAGCCAGTCACCATGAAGAGTGTGTGCGTTTGCGGCCCCAGACCTACGACCTCCAGGAAAGCAACGTGCAGCTCAAGCTGACCATTGTGGATACTGTGGGCTTCGGGGATCAGATCAATAAGGATGAGAGGCAAGAGGCGGGAAGGGCGGCTTCACCCAGAAAAACTTCATCCTCATCCCACCCATGTTGGCCATGATTCTACAACTGCCTGTGTGCTTCTCACCCCATGCTGCACCCCTGTGAATACCTGAGGCCTCACACTCCATAGGGGCCAGGGGAGGGCTTCTTGGGGAATAGCTGAAGCCCTTTGGTTACTCCTTGGGTTAGGGAATTGGGAGAAAGGGTCAGTTACCTGTACCCAGGCAGCCTGGCTTGGCTCTGGAGGATGGTCTGCCCTTAGCCCCATATGCCCAATGCAATTGCTGGCCTCCTAGGTGATGGATCTGTCTGTAGTTACAGGCCCATCGTTGACTACATCGATGCACAATTTGAAAACTATCTACAAGAGGAGCTGAAGATCCGCCGCTCCCTCTTTGACTACCATGACACCAGGGTCCACGTTTGCCTCTACTTCATCACGCCCACAGGGCACTCCCTCAAGTCCCTGGACCTGGTGACCATGAAGAAACTGGACAGCAAGGTATATGAGTCCACGCCCATATACTTGTTCCATGGCCTCCAGGGTCCTCTACTGGGGCAGGATGCAGCAGTGTGGCTGTCTGCTGAGGTCACCAGGGGCCCTCCCAGTCTGGGGCTTGCAGACAGCCCTTCAGCTTGGTCATCCCTCTCCTTCCTCTTGCATCTGCCCCTGCTGCTCCAGTAGGCCCCCACTGCTCTGGCTTTTTCTTCATAGCCTTGTCCCTGGGGTCTGGTCTGGAGCCCCTTCCTTCCAGCTGTATCTATTCTCCCTCTCAGCATGGATGGCTCCAGGCCTCCTCTCCTTTCCCTAGGGCCTTCCCATCCCCTGGTCCTCTCCCCAGAGGGCCCCGTCCCATTTCAGCCTCTTTGCTCATTTCTTTCTCTCAACTCTTGTTGTCTTTGCTTCTGTCACTCCCCTCTCTTTCCTGCTGTGGATTTCTCTAGGGGTTTGCCTGAGTCCACTAGGGAGGGAGGAGATAAACTGCAGAATTGGAATGCAAATTAGGAGTGGGTGCAGAGAGGGCAGCTTTATGGGGAAAACAGGAATGATTGAGGGCATGTGACCCTACAGTTACATGTTGGTTCTCACATGACTGTTATTCCCATAAAAAAAACAAACTCACTGCCATCGAGTCAATTTGATTCATAGCAACCCCTCCTTGGGTTTCTGAGGCGATATCTACAGAAGTAGATTGCCCAATCCTCCTTCCGAGGAGTGGCTGTTGGGTTTGAACTGCCAGCCTTCCGGTTAGCAGTCACATATCTTAGGCACTATGACACCAGAGTCCTTCTCATTATCAGGAGTTAATTTTCACTGTGAAAGATGGAATAATTTTGGCCTAGGAGATTTTGAAGTCTTCTTGTGGCCACTGCTGATAGGATCTTCTTCTTATTTTTTTTTAATACATTTTATTGAAATATAATTTATGTATATTGAAATACACAAAACTAAAGTGACATGGGTCAA